ACATTCCTAATTATTATTGATGGATGGGACAAAAGGCTGAAGAGCTGCACTGAGTGTATTACATTTATCAGAGTAGAAGCAAAACTAAGTGTTTCAGTAAAATTATTATGGTTAGTTTATTGTCATAGCATGGTTTGGTCCTTTAATGAACAATATAGGTTTGGTTTTGGATGTTTATAGATGATCGTTAAAATGACTGTTAGTGCCTTATTTGTACATGACGATAACAAAATCTTCTGTGATGTGAGGACATGTAACCATACACACAGTATGTGCTATATATACATACAGTATGTACTTCATCTTCCCACTTCATTCTTTTTGTTTTTGCTTTCATTCCCCCCCCCCCCCCCCTCCCTCCCCCCCACACATACACACACGTACACACTCATAGTAACTAAGGTATCTAGTCTGAGTCATAACTCCTGACATTCGGCACGTGCAAGTCAGCACGAATAGCTCAGCTGAGGAAGGCCACCCCGCCACCCCCTCCACTCAATGCTCCGCACAAAGAGAAAGGGGGGAGTGGTTTGGGAAGGAGGAGAGGAAAAAAATGAAAGGTGGTGATGGGTGGGGGCCTGTTGGGCAGGGTGGAGCTGCTAAAAAATAACGATCAGGAGAAGGAGGAGGAGGAGTGGGGCACTGTTTTTAGGAGGTGACTCTTTGGTTTGGGATATGAAAAGAAAGGCAAGAGTGCAATTAATATACAGAATATTTTGAACCTGAAACAAAGAGAGTAGAGCAGACAAAAGGAGAACGGATGGAAAATAAGTGAGGTAAAAATGGTTCAAAAACAATGGAAGAACACTGTGTACTACTTTCTGCTAGTGTAACGTTTGCCAAGTCATGAAAAAGAGCTGAGCAGACAAACCTGATCAGACAGTGATGTAATCATTAACAGAACATGGTTGTTAAAAATACTAGAACAATTTTTTTAACAGGTGAAACATGTTTGTTTATGTGGTGGGTTTTTAAAGACAATATACGGCAAAAACACAAATCATAATTTGCTCATACTTGAGAGAGAAAAACAGAAACCGTAGAGAGGAAGCAAGAGAACCCTGCCTCAGCCCTGCACAGTGGCTGGTTGCCAGCCTTGTCTCTCAGGACTTGGGCTAAGATTAGCTTCCCATATGTTCGAGTCAGGCATAGCTGGGCTTGTAGGACTAGTACTTAAATACGGCAAAACACAAAAACCTTCAGTGTGCACAGTGAAGCTAGGTACTGCTTAATACATACACTAAACCATTAAGATTTACAATTAGAGTCAAAATGTATTTTAAATCATTTAAATGAAAGGCAAGGTCCCAGACAATAATGGCTGGATTATGTTTTTTTGCATTGTTTTGTTTTGTTTTATTTTTATTGTGTGTTTTTTAAGAACTGAGCTGCTCTTAGTTTTATGCCTTGTCTTACATTATAATCAGTCCAGTCCTTCACCTATTTTGGAGATATTCGTCATGACGGAATTAACATAAATATACTTCAGAAATCAATTTTTTCATGTGCCTGTTTCAATAGTCTGCAATAAAACCTTGAACAGCTGTGGTGGTGTGTTACATAAAACCTGGCAGTGTTTGGCAGCAGTGGGATTCAGGATTGTATAGAGCGTGTGCCCAGGGGGAGCAGGAGAGCAGCCGCCAGAGAAGTGAGAGTTAAAGAGCTCCAGCAACAGCTGAGTGCTCCTCCCCCTTCTCTTTCCATTCATTTTTTATTAACTGCGGCACCAACCACCCCTCAAACATCAAACACAGATACCACCAACAATGCCAACAAGCCACCAACCACAATTCATCTTGTCATGCAGACTATCGAACCAGCCCAGGATTCGGTGTAGTGTAAGTCCAGCCATGTTCACTGGTACATGCAGAACTATAAGCCGTATAGCAGGACAGACAGTGCAGCAACAAACATCCGCTAACTGCCTTTAATTAGTAATGAAACATGACAACTCAGCAGAGTTTAGTCAGTCCCAGTGTATTAATGAAAGCATGCCAGTGACATCATGTTTGGTGACTGTATACATGAAAATGTCATGTGGAATCCCACAAGGACTTATGTATGTTATTTACAGTGTGTTATTATGTTATACTCTGACATACTCTGACACTTATTAGTTATTTTTACTGGTTTACTGTTATTCTTGATGTGTTTTCATCTCTTCTTATTGATCATCTTTTAATCTTTTGTAAAATGTGCTTGGGTGTTTTAAAAGGCACTGTATAAATAAAATGTATTATTATTATTATGTTGTTGTTATTTTGAAGACCTTAGGGTGTCTTTGATAAAACAGGTTTTCAGTGTATATGTGGTTCACTGTTGATACAACAGTTGTTCAGTGCCTGGCAACAGCCAACTCTTCCTGGGTTGAGATATACAACTGTAGAGGACAGTTAATGGGTAAATGTGGTTAGTTACACTTTTACTTGCAGAGACAGTGTTTCACTTGCAATGCCATTCATTTAATTGGTATTAGAAAAGGAAAATTCTATAAAGATAGTGTCACCAAGTTAAAGACACAAGTTAAGGAATAAATTTGTGTTTTTCAAGACAAAAAGTTAATGAGTTTATACTTTTGCCTGTGTTGAAGACAAGATTGTTCAAACGACACTAGGACATTTTGGAGACATATACCACCCAAGAGCAAGAAGGGAACAAAAATGAATTTTAAAACAAATGCAAACAAATTTCCTGTAACAGATAAAACTATATTGTTTAAGTGTTTTATACGTTGTTTTATTGTGTCACTGTCAATCCTTCAACAGTTTTGTTAGAGATCTCAGAATACCTTTCATTATCCAGTCTCTTTAAACAAATAAGTAATATAGGAGAATGTGTCCCTCACTCATCTCCACACACAAGACCAAGGCAACGTGACATCTAGAGGATAAACAGGACTGCGCCTCACCTTAAGGACCAAAAACCCAACTAGTGGTATAACTGCTGACTGCATGTCACAATTTACTCACTTTTTAATCAACCTTTAGATAACTAGTGCGTTTTACCGGCACAACGGTAAAAGTCTTGCCGTTTTTTTCAGACTGAATGGAAACCTTACAGAGCAGTAAATACATTGAAACCCAAAACTGAATGGAAGAGGTGATGTCAAACCCTCCACTTCCTGAGTCTGTACTATATAGCAAACCACTTATTACACACACACACACACACACACACACACACACATACATACACGTGTATGTGGTGCCGGCTAGCTGGTCATGTGACAAATGCTTGGACTTCGGACTTGAGCTAAAATTAAAGCAATGATGTCATCAGATATTCAGTGTTGCCACAGAAACTAGGTCAGTGTTAACCCTTTGTGAGCAAGGCTGGGGATTCCACACAAAGATGTAGGATTAACAAACGTGTCATGTATCATGCACTCGGTGGTTTGAGTGTTATTGTGTTATGTGAAGTTCATCTCATTTTTGAAAAGGATATCCTGTGGGTGTGGAAAAACATTCACACAAGAGCAACCTGTCTGTCTTGTAACCTGTTGTGGTATAGCCTCTTAATTCAGCTTTGCTTCCTGAACAGTAAATAAAACTACAAGACAAACACTCTGCTGTCGGACTCACTTTTAACCACTCAATATTTATATGTTCTTAGAACTGTTGGGTGGTTCCTGAAAATATTTAATGTTACTTAATGATAGTGTCTTGTTGGGTGCAGTTTGTTTTTATATAACCAGCGAAATGTTTGACAAAGAAACAGATCTTCACCATATAAACACTCCGCCAAGGACACACAAAGCAACCATGACACTCGACAAACAGCAGCTCAGAAATTCACAAAGGAGGAGAACACAAACTTGTTAAACATAGTCAATAGCTCCTCTCACAAACAGACAGGTCAATAATTTTTTTCCTTGAGATCCAGATGGTCATGTTATAGATAAAGAGACTTGATGGAGATTAGAGCAGGCTTAGAGGTAAGCTAGAGTTTGTCAGCAGAACAGAGTTAAACCCATTCATCACATATTTCACATCAGAATCAATGTATAAAGGTCCTTAAGGCATATCTTCCACATGTCACTCCCATATGTCTGGGTTTATAACAATGAAATGTTTCACTATGCATCTGATGGCAAGTCAAAACAAAGCTTTCTTTCTGTTCCTGGAAGAGGACATCGCAAGATTCAAAACCTTGTCTGGTGCTCAATAAATGTTTTTCCTATGAAACTTTGTCGCTCAAACTTCCTTTTCACATAAACACACAAGCGTGCCCTGACTTGGCAAGATGTAGAACAGCAGCTCTCAGCGGCCACACGCCACAGGTTACTACGCCCGACAATCAAATGCGTACGCATGCGTGACCCACTAACTTTCACTCCCCTTACCTCATTTGACTCCAGAACCTAGGAGGAGAAGGACGGCCCCCGTGGCTCCTGAGCCAGTGCGTAGGGTTTCTCCTCCTCCTCCCTCCTCCTCTCCCTGGTCTCTTGTATCTACACACGCCTGGTTCTGGCACCAATCAGCTGGCAGCGTGGGACGCTTTAAACCGAGGACGCCGTCACTTGCTCACTGAGGCGCTCAGCTCACTTGGACATAAAGCTAAAGTAACCGATTTATTATAGTCATCTTCCAACCCGGGTAAGTCGGATGAGAAGACAGATGCCTAAAGGTGTCTAAAGCACCTTTGCTCCAAATTGTGATGATATCAGGGCTAATATAATGAGCTTATGACTTCAACGGAAAGAGCAGCAAACAGTGGCGACAATCACAACTTTTTCTACATAACTGGTATCAGCGGATAAGCCCGTTCATACAAATCACATCTGTAAAAAAATTAAAAAACACACGTGCACAGGGACATACGTAGAAAGAGTAGAAGAACTCGTCGCTGCATTGAGTAACCACCACATTTACTGCTCCTGAGAGCCCTACTGTACTGATGAGCCAGCAGCTGAGAATCAAAGCACAGACAGAGATTACACACAAATGACAGAGATGACACACACATCAGCGCAGAAACACAAACCCAGTGCTCTCTCTTACCTCAGCTGCCAGTTCAGGGTTTCCCAAACAGCTGTGACTGCTGTCTTCAAAATATTCCACCTTTACAGCCATTCAACAGAAGACAGGTAGGAGTGAGAAGGAGACAGAGGGAGATGGGAGGGGGAGAGAATAACAATCAATAGAATAATGCGACAAGGGCCTGTTCAAATGCACTCATCATTAAGGACAGTGGGACTACCAGGTACAACATGTATGCCACTCTCCATGCAATCGTCTTATCATTGCTGTCATCCTCAAAAAAGGTGAAAAAGCAGCTGTTCACACAAATCTCTTTTCTTTGATTTGTGTTCAAACAGTGAGGCGGCACTTCCCTCTACTGCTGGGACAGCGAATGAGACACAGCAAAGCGAGGATTTAATATCAATTATAGAATTATGTAATGTCTGTGCCTCTGCCTGGCACAGCCTTCCTAATCTATGCATTAGACAAATCTGCATAAACCATTTATTTAAGGGAAAAATGGTAAAACATGCTGGACAGGTCTGGTGGAATAGATGGAAATGGTTCATCAAAGTAGGGCTGATTACTGTAAAACAATAGCATCTTCTTATTTGGCACAGCATGTCCCCCTTGTCTACACAGCCCTTGCTGCCTCAATGTTAAATGATATGTTTTCTCTCGAGCTGTTCCCCAGTCCCGCCGACCTCAAACCCCCATATCCCCCCACCCACCTATCAATCCTAAAATAGTCTAAAGTGATGAATATTTACCCTCCAAGCCTCAGAGCTGCCTTGGTTTGTACTCCTCCGTCTGCTGGCCAAATCCCCATCAGAAGACTCCGACTCCCTCTCGTCTTCACCTCTGTCCCTCTATTCCTTTCTTCTCTCTCTCTTTTTCTCTCTATCTCCTTCCACTCTTCTTTCCTGGTCTCTCTCTCTCTTGTCTGTGTTCCAGCAGCCCATTCAGGAAGCCATCTTGTGTTTTTGATCTGGTTTTACATGAGCCCTCGTAGGCACGCTCTCTCTCTCTCTCTCTCTCTCTCTCTTGCTCTACCCACCTTTCTCTCTCTCTTTCTGCTGCTAGTATGCCAATAGGTCTACCACACGCACGCTCATACATACACACACTCGATTACTATCAGTCTTTCCTCCCACTCATTTTTTCTCTTCCTTTGCATACATGATGTGAATGTCCCTTCAGCCATCCCCTCCCCCTTCTCTCATTCTTCAAACATATACACTCATGAACAAATGTACACACACACATACACACAGAGCTCGCCAGAGAGACGTCACGCTAGAGATAGTACACAAAGGCAGCCTGTCCACCAATCACAGGCTGGGCTGGGGTCTGCTGCTAGGGTGAAATTGAAGGAGAGCATGTACAGGCAGTGAGAGAGAGCGAGAGCTACTAAGTAGAGGAGGCTAAAATAAAAAAAGGGAAATGGTCTGTGAGTGTGTGTTTCCGAGTGTGCGGCACCATAAAAGAGAGGCTTACATAAAGACACGGAGTGAAGGTGGATGGGAGGTGCGTGTGCTTCAGGAAGGGGGGGGTGGGGGAGTGATGGGTCCTCTCTATGCCTGTCAATTATCTCCTCGAACTCGCCTTCCCTAAACAATGCCTCTGGTATGTGGTATCACTGAGCACCATCTGTGGCAGGGCTGCCTGCAATAACTGGACTGGACTGCACAGTGTGCAAACACACACTCATTCACACACAGACCCTGTCAAACAGCCACCCAGCCCCCCCTTATGACAAGCAAAATGCAGTTACACAGCAGAACCCCACATGCTGGCTCAAAGCCAGCGAGCATCCGGAAAATGATCACAGTACCACATATACACATTACAGCAGTGCCATAGGTAACGTTGTCATGTTGTCACAATATCACTAATCATTAGCTGTATACATGTACACAAACCAATGAACTGCAAAGATAACTGATGCAAACACTACCTCAACCTCTCACTTTAAGGACAGCGCTGCTGAGGTCTCAGATGTCCTTTTACACACTCTCTGCGAGAATCACATGCCAAACATACTTCGGAAGCTGTGTTCTTAATGTTTACATTCTGAGTGTGAAAGATCATCTCCAGCCTTTACTTTTTTAAACCGAACACATTCTTGCCACAGTACTGACCATAACCGCAAAAGCCAAGGGGAAACGATTTTGTCCAAATTAGCAACCGGCTACCACTGTCCAGATACATTTCTCTTAAAAATATTGTCATTGATGAGCTTTTGTGAAATGGGAAGTTTAACGAAAACAAAGGGTGCAACAAAGCAATCTGTTAAGATACAATAGACAGCAAAGCTATGAACGTGCGAAGGACTGCTAAATTAAAAGCCTCTGAAAGACAAGACAAAGTCAGCGAAAGTTCAGGCAGTCCGGCGAAGACACGGCAGATCGAGACGAAACAGACAGACAGCGAGAGGAAGGCAGAGATGTAGAAACTGAGGGGGAATCGAAAAGAGAAAGGGAGCTGAAGTGTGGCTTGGTGAAGTGAGGCAGCCACACGATGACACAGCATTTCTTGGGCCTGTCTGATGTGCTCATATGGCAGGGGAATTCCCTTCTGCTGACGTCAGACGGACCACGTGTGTGTATGAATGTGTGTGAGTAGGTGTTTACAGTACGTGTGAGCAGAGGTGTGACTGTGGTAAACTGGACAGCGAGAGTGGCTGCTTGGATTCATTACAGGTAGCTGGGGTAGTTATACTACTTGAAGCAGTAATCGTACCGCTAGTGCAGTCACAGTACGAGCATTTTACTAAAGGCAGCAGTAACAGTAACAGTAAGGGTAATTGTGGTTATGATATTAGATTTGGGAATAGATTAATAATAATAATTGCTGGAACAGAGGATGTATTACAAGTAAAAAAAAAATCCTACAGAGATAGCAAAAGGAATGGCTATAGTAGGACCAGAAAATATTATAAGTGTTATAAAAAAATAAAACATTCTCTGCTATGTACCTGTCTTACACTGACAATGTCTTTTAAAAGAAAGTAATGTAGACTAAGGGGAAGAAGCAAGGATATCTCTGATTTGATCACATCTTCATTCCCCTTTCAGACATTCCTAGCCTTCAAAAGACTCCTCGTGATCACTGACCAAACATTACCACACACGTGCAAATCCCATCCACTACCAGTCAGCATCATAATCCTGTCATGCACGCCTTCATTTCATTCATACATGTCCCGGGTGTTGCCGTTACCTACTCACATTTAGCGCCTACCCAGACCTAAACACTCCTCCTGCTTGCCCTCATAAACACCCACTACACAGGGGAGGGAGGCTCATTATGGCTCGTCTGATAGCATGTTGTAAAAATTAGCATTTGGTTGTAGGACAGTTAGAGGAAGATGAGGGTGCTGAGGTAGTTTGTCCACAATTATACTAATTGGTGTGATTAATGGTATTAATTAAGCTAGTCTGACAAAAGCACTACACAAACCAACTCTCTGTTTTCCACTTGTGAATAAGTACAGTCACCTGTCTCACGGACACACTAAGCACATTACTGACAATGTGTTTTGAGCAGCCAGAGGTTGAAAGCTGCTGCCAACACCCGCACTGTACAACAGTGAGCTGCAAAGCAGTTATCACACGAAAGGGTGGTGGATGTGGTTCCTGGGCAGTAATGGACTCAGCTTCTGCATCCAGGCCAGAGAGCAAAGATGGGCACTTGGTTAAGAACTGTTTATGGAGAAAAGCTACATTTAGGGCAAATCTCTTGGTGCTCCAGCTCACTACACTCACCACTGTGAGAAGAGGCAGTGGACCAGTAAAGATCTCTTAGGTCCAACAATGGCACTTAGCTAGAGACTCAGTTCTCATTCTGTAAAAATACTGGCAATCTGAATAAATACCAGCATCAACAGTGTTAAAAGCAGAGTGAAGCCACAAGGAGGCTTGTCCTGGTTGTGAAATAATCAACGCAACTGGAATGATGTCCAGTTTTTTCAAAACGGCTCAATATTAAAAAAATTTTTAAATATCAATATCTGCTGAGTAACTTTAGCATCACTGCCTTATGGAGTGCTGATCAATAAGTAAGGGATTTTCTCCCATGACCCATTATTAGTAGAAAAATATATTTGTTTTTAGGTTAGAAGTGACATGCTGCATCTTATTCAAAACCATTGTTAGTGACCTGTTAACTGTGATCTAGTGAGGAGAGATTTGGTCCCTTTTCTCTTGTTATATATATGTTACTTGCTTTTAAGAAATAATGACAACAGCAACAGTAGAATCTAATAATCACGGAACTGTCAATTTTAAAACGTCATGGGTAAATTATATGAAAACGTACTTTACGGTTTACGGTGACTAGGTGAACAGGACAAGAGTTCCCTCAGAGGTCAGGGGTTTTGAAATTTATTACCCCTTAACAACAAGAGAGAGTCTGAAAATGACAATGGTAGCAATGAGGAGACCTCTTTAACAAGCCCGTTTTACTGTCCGCTGAATTCAAATGACAAAGACATGATCCTGAAATGTTAACTATGATGCCCATTGTTGAGCAACATCATGTAGGAAAATGCTTCATGATTCTTTCTCTGATTAATTTAGTGTCAACAGCTTTTCTGCCATACAAGTGTACAGCATGTCTTCTGTGTCTCTTATATAATGCCCGGGACCCCCAGATAGTGATATTAGCTTACATTTTAGTTTCATAAACCATTAAGACAATTGTTTTTTTGTTGATTTACTGAACTGTATTACTGTGAACTATGCTGATTGTGCAGGAAACACCCATATGTTGTTTTTGCCACTTTAGAAACCTCCTATCAGACAGGACAGGACAAGCCTGAAGAGTGCTGACGGAACCCTGGATTTCCTGTTTGTAGCTAAACAAAGCTTAAGCATTTTCCTCTAAAAAAAAAATCAGCTTTGTGCTATTTACCACCAACATAACCTTGTCTGCAAAGGCTTTTAAACCACTGACCTACATCTCTAGACATACTTAAGTTATTCAAGTAGTAGAATCTTGTATCAGAACAACACAAAAATCATTTCACAGCAGGTTCTTCTGCAAATTGCACACAACGGTAAGGCAGGCAGATATTTAACTTTAAATAGGAACTTGGCTAGTGCCCAAACACTAATGGACAGGATGCAGTTAAGTGACTGTATTCTGATCTTTGTGTGTACTTGATCAATAACACTTTGACACGTAATGCCTTTGATCTAACTTGATTCTTGTAAAAAAAAAAAGAATGGATTTCACAGAAGTTTATGTTTGATTGTCATACTTTTATTACCTATTATTTTATTGTACCAGAGGAGCATTTCAGAATCTCATGTGTGAGGTCTGAGGCCTTAAAAATGTCCAAGCATATCTAAACTAAATAATTTAAAAAAGAAAAATAGATTTTCTTTGCAAAGGGTTACAAATTAAAGAATATGTGACAGCTCCTCTTCCTTTTATTTCTTGATATTCACTTAACTTCCACAACACATTTACAGCTGTCTAGCCATTGATGTGTGCATGCAATCAGTGTGACAGTGTGTTTGTTTTGCTATTTATTAACCCATAGAAAGAATTAAGCATCTATTCCTTGGTCATGCTTTAGCAGCTGATTCTGCTTTTTCTTGCTTCTCTTCCTCCAATATTGCTGACCACAGACTGCATTTTCCCATCCTGCTCCTTGACTCCACAGCCCATCCCCCCTGTTTAAGACACTGGTATAGGTACAAACACACAGAGGCACACACAATGGAAGTGCACTTCCATTAACACAAGTGCACATTTTAAAAAGCTGCCTTCTTTCTCTTTTTTCACACACCCACACTCACACAAATACAAAATGGCCTAGGGTTAACCCCCCACCCTCATTCGAAACCTCAGAGGTCAAAGGACAAAGCGCGGGCAACGACAGGAATTCTTCACTGCTGCTGTTTGGTAGCCCTCACAGTCTCTCAGCCTCGCAAACACACACACACGAGCCACTCAGAGTCTGTTAAAACTGACAAACTTTTTACTATTTATGTTAAGGAGAATATTAAGCAAAATGTGAAACATTTGCATAAGCACATCTATAATCGTGACTGTTAACCATCTGTCACACAAACAGTACACACTTTTACTCTATTTATTAAATGCATGCACAGGATGGAGCATGTGTAGATAAGAAAGCTCTCCTAAATATACATCTAGAACAGTGACAGCACTCACAGATGGCCAAGATAAATAAAGATGCGGTACTGATGATGAGCTTCAAAAAGAAAGTAGAGCTTCAACTTGCGATTATTTTCTCTACTGATTAATTTCTTGCCAATTTTCTTGATTAACTGATTGATCATTTGATTTATGAAATGTCAAAAGATACTGAGAAATTGTAATTTGCGCAATAGCAGCCAAATCCGTCTGCCTTAACAACTATGAACCCTTCCCTTCATGTTGCAACAGTCATCAGGAGGACAGCTTAAACATCAACTTGGTTTATTGACAATGAGTCTGTTTTTACAGTAGAGCGGTTTTTTATCTTATACTGTTTGTATTATTAGTTATAGTATAACTAGTAGTCGCATAATGATGTTAGCAAAGCACACAGCATTGCATCATTGTACGAAGTGTGCTGTATAAATATATTTGAGTTGGCAGGACAATCACTTCCACCTGTTCTGACTCTGTTAAACAGAAGTTTATGTTGGCAAACATAAGATGAGACAGAAGTGGAGTTCCTATAAACAGATGAATCATTAACTTGTAGGTGTGCATTTTTAAGTGAGTTTTGGAATTACATTTCTATTACAAGTGCCACATTTCTATTACAAGTGCCACATCTGTTCACATTACACCGTGTGCCATTTGCTATTAGGGTAAGTAACAGAAGCATGTCTAGACTTGACAGATAAGGAATGCCAGTAGTAGTAACACCAGCAGCTGCAAAACGTTATGCTATTTTTTTCTGAGTGGACATCCTTGTGTGATGTCTGCGATGAAAGTGCCGCAGTAAGTGAATAGACGGATGGAAGGGCAGATGGATGGATACATCCCCTGCTTTGCTCAGGTAACCTGAATGTGGCACACCCAGCTAAACTAAGTCCCATTGTGCATGTCCATCCATCCATTTTCTTCCGCTTATCCGGGGCCGGGTCGCGGGGGCAGCAGTCTAAGCAAAGATGCCCAGACCTCCCTCTCTCCAGACACTTCCTCCAGCTCCTCCGGGGGAA